AAAAGGCCCTATTGCAAAATGGTAACATTATATCAGTGTTTCCCAAACTTGACAATTTTAAGGCATGAGGACTTCAACTCCCAGAATTCCACAGCCAGCAACACTGGCTGTGGAATTCTGGGAGTTGAAGTCCTCATGCCTTAAAATTGTCAAGTTTGGGAAACACTGCATTATATCATACATAATGTTAAGCCATAAATTATGAGTTCAAGCTACTGTGATGACATTTACATTGCATTAAGTCAAAACCAAATAAAAATAAAAATATGGCTCTTGGTGACCCAACCTGCATACTGTATAGCCAAAAAGCCAAATAATGAATTCTCTGATACAAATTCTACTTAAATAAGCAAAGCTTGAGATTTCTTTTATATGAAACAGAATTTTGCAGTGTTCTGCTTCCCAAAAACTGGAGCTAGCATATAGTATCATGCAAAAAATGAAGATCACCTATCCTGGATGGTTTATAACAAATGAATTAAATTATCACACATTAAGTTCCATTAGACTTTTAATACGGTAACTGGATGGGAGGTAAGGCTTATTATATAAACATTTTCCTGAAGAAAAGCAATGTGAATATAAATCAATGCTTACATAACCAATTCACAACAGATAAATTATGACATTTGGCTTCAATTGGGAATTGGGAGAGGGTAGTCACAACTGTGAACATTATGGACCCCCCCCAGAGATCTTTTCAATGATAGAATATATCTTTAAAATACACAAATAAATATTATAAATGATATTCTGCTATTATTTAACCATGGTTTGTAGATCACCAGGTTACTCCAGATTTTTATTTTTATGTTTATATGCAGGTGCTATTCTTGTAACCCTATATTTCTGTATATGCTAAATTTTGTGTTACTAGTTTTAAATTGCAAGACACAATGACATATTTGATAGAAAAAATAATATAAATTTTACTAAAAACCAAACAGCAATAAAACATGTAAAACAGTCAGAGGGAAAGAATAATATACAAATATTCTCTGATAACGTCTTTCATTACAGGTCTTTAAAAGTTCCTTATCATTTAGCAAATTTTGCACTTTGTAATATTCACATACATATCTATAACCTGTCAACCTGTACCAGTTAAAATCAGTTAAAAATAAGTGCAGCAATATTTCTTTGAAACCTAGACCAACTTGGCGTTCCACAGTTACCATCTTTTGCGTTCTATTTTTCAGCTTTTTTTGGGGGGGGGGATCTTTTCAGATTCTTATAAAACCAACATTACTGTTGTTACAATTCTCATTTTCTCTGGTGTCCCACACTTATGACAGCTATAACATATTCCTCAATTAACATTCCTCTGAAGCAACAGACATATTTTGAATTCGTTTTCTGTCCTACAGTTTTGGTTCAGCTTAGCATAAAAAGAACTGGATACAGAACAGATACAGACTAGATACAAGTGTTGCATCACTTCAGAATTACTCCAGAGCTATGTTTTCTCACATCGGCTGTGTTTGACAACTGAGCCAATTAATTTCTAGCTCAGCTTTGATGTATCATCTGAAACAGCAAACAAAAAAAGGGGGGGGGATTCTCCTGTGTTCATATTGGTGGGAACATTTGCCTCATAATGTCTTATGTCTTCAGTTGTTGTAACATTTGGGTCAATGAAGAAAAGAAGTGTGACAGTGTCATAGAACCCCCTGTACAGCAACGGCCTGACTTTTGCATACAATCTGACAAAATAATATCCACCAGATGATTCCACGGTAAATTTATAGTTGACATAGTCTGGGCTGTTTTGATTCTTTACAGATCCTTGTAGAACAGGTTTATTTTTAAAATAAATAAAATAAACAAGCTCTGCTCTTGATTATATAGAATGAAACCCAGGAAGGAGGAGCAGGTCCGGCCTACATTCATGTTTATATAGTCTCTCACAATATGGGTAGTCTTCAAACTTTTCTTGATGTGCTGCAAGCAAATCTACTCAATTGAAATCTGCAGTTGAGTTTGTTCATACATCCTTACATACAATTAATTGAATAATGGTTTATTTTACTAAACTAATTTTTTTTGAGTTCCTGTGGCATATATAAGCTGATGTACTAATACATGACTGGCCAATTTGCAATTTACTGTTTTTTGAATCTGGCAGGTAGGCTGCCCTTGTCATAAAATAAATCATTATGATCAACAAATGCTTCAGTTGGGAAAATTATTCTATTGTACCGTGGCATAGGCCTGTTATCTTGTTGATATCTTCAAGTTGAGTTTGAGATTACCAAAGCTGCTATAGTCTGAGAAATTAGAGTTTGATTTCTTCCCCATTGTGTTTTAGCTTTCAAGTGATTGATTTAGTTATAACTGTTAATTCTCAGAACCAACACTGCCAGACTTTCATGGTAGTATTTTTGTAGGACTACTTGAAATAACACACAAGAGTATGCAAACCTTTTGGAGAATTCTTCATCTAGAGATCCAAAAATCAGGGGATGAAAAGAAGCAAGACTAAAGATTAACCCTAGCTTATCTTAAGTTATTAAAATCAAGAGCCAAGCTGTCCACTTGAGGGAGGTCAATGCCATCAACAATCTGAAATTAGGTTGAATTGAAATGATGACATCATGAAACAAATGCCACATTTATGTCCCCATGTCAAGTCCCGTTACTGAAATGCCTTCATTCAAATTTCATTTTTAAACTTTTCACGTTTCTAATTCTTAAGTCTTTTGCCAGAATTGCATCGATTCTGCAAACCAACTTCTGGTTTAGCCTATGGTTTCCTTAAACCCCCCCCTAACGTAATCTGAAGACTATTCTTTTCTTACAAGTTTATTTTCATAATAATGTTGTTAGAAGATATATTTAGCATTGTTTCTGAATAATTCTTTGTCACTTTCTTGGAAATGTGTTTCAGAAAACTTTTAAGGACATTACTAGGCATGCTAAAAATGCCACCTGGTTGCATTGATGCCCTACCCACCAATTTTCACTCCCTGTTTGGATATTGTCCTCCATCTAAGGTTGCCCTGTAAGTTGTCCGCATTTTTACTAGTTCTTGAAACCAGAGAAATCCAACTGACAAGTCCCACAGCAAGAGTCAGGATCCCATCATTGTAGCTTTATCAGGGTAATTTTATAAAGATAAATTATGGAAGGTTTCTTTCTTTCCAAAACATATGTAAGTAGTCCTCACTTAACTTTCATTCAATGACTGCTCAGAGTTACAACAGTGCGGATCAAAGGGTACTTATGATGGATCCTTGTAGTTGTGGCTGTTCCAGCATCATGTAGTCAAGATTCAGGTGCTCAGCAACCGGCTCACAATGATGACATTGCAGCATTCCAGTCAGGTGATCACCATCTCTGATCTTCACTGCTGGCTTTTGATAAGCAAAGTCAATGGGGAAGCTGGCAGGAAGTCATAAATGGTGATCACGTGACTCACCTAATGACAGCAACTGGGAATTGCCATTGTAAGTCACCAAGGTCACATGATGTTGCACCTTGTGATCTCATCATTTAGCAAAACAATTCCCAATCACCATCAGTGAGGACTACTTGTACTACAAAACAAACCAATAAAATTATGCAACATAGACAAATGTATTGTATCCAGATCCACTTTGTCTTTTCACTGTCAAAAAGAGTATACTTTTAACAGCAGGTTGGAGGTATTATTTTCCTCTCTAATGCTTTAAGCACCAATGCTTCATTATCATAAAACACATTTTATCTTAGCAAATCTCTGTTGTACTAAATACAGTATAGTGCATCACAAATAGTATTTATTGCATTTTCTGTGAAGAACAAAAATGTATTTTTTTGTTTTCAGTTGTGGTTATGAAGTACATAATCAGATACCAAGTTATATCACAGAAATGGTATATACTTAAGTATTTGTGACAGATGAAGTTTTATTTACCATAAAATAGCTAACTCGGTACAAATAAAAGTTGCTTGCATTCATTTTCCACTTCATCACCATAGCAAAAAGAAAACATATACTTCTATTTATATCTTTTCTAAAGATCTTTAAAAGGCCATGGTCAATTTTAACTTCATTTATAAAGTGACAGAATTTTCATCAAAACTAGTTATCATGTGTAATGGGGTCATACATATAAATTATGATCTAAATGATCTTAAGAAGAGAAATCTTGGAAGATTTATAGTTAATTTATGGTCAATAGTGGAAAAAAAAACTCAGCTGCAGGAATATGATCCATTCTACCTCAAGATTTCCAAACATAAAATATTTATCCAACCATAGAAAAAGCAGTTAAATTGTTTTGAATATTCAAAACAAAGTACCCATTGTCTCTAGATTTATTTCAATATGATAAGTTTCTATTGATATTTGTATCAATATTAATATACTATGTTCTAAGAACTGTAGATACAAATGAAAATACATTAATATTCAGAAAACCTGAATGTACTTCCACCTAAGAATTCACATTTCTAGCTATTTATAAATAAGCTAATAGGTTTTATAAGGAAACTTTTATTTAAATAAAAGTATCTGAATCAGACAGATAAATAATAGCATAATCCAGACTGCCACATCTTCTAAATATATGGATAAACAATTCATTAAGTGCAGAGGAACAATAAATGAAATAGTTGGAATAAAAAAAGTCACATTCACAGTTTATCATAAACCTAATAGGCAATGATTAACAATCTTCTTGTAATTGTTAGGAATTATTTTGTGTATTTGGTTTAAATATAAATGGCCTAAATAATGTGCTAATTTTGGTACATTTTACAGTTAAAAGATTCAGCTGTCCCCTCCATCATGATTAAACTGTTCATAAATGTGGAAAAATGAATTGCTTCATTATTTTATATAAAAATCAAGGAATATTAGAAATCCCTTGCTCTGCCATACTTTGGCCTGTATGTAACAAAGTCTGAAGATACTCTGCGAACTCCAATTAATGAACTGTTCTTATGACATTAAATCTAATATAGAAGTATTCTTTGAAAGTGAAATAAATTAAATAAGGAAAATAAATTCAACAATATTTTTTTCAATAAGTATGTTTAATATTGCAATAGTAACAAAATCCCATTGAATTCTTATCACCATCATGGAACTTCACTAAAATGTCAGATACTTACTTTGAAAACCTATAAAGAAAACTGTACTTTTATCAGACTTTCTCATGCAGAGTTTTACATCTTTGCTTAATAATGTCATAGCATCACCCAAATCAACAGCAGAGAACCTATCCACGTTAGTTCATTAAAATGCAATTTCATTATATTTAACCATAAATATCCACAGAGAATCCAGTTAAATACTACAGATATGACATTTTGTCACAGGTAAATGCGAAGATTTTGGTTTATGTAGGTAAAGTGGGTTTTTCCCCCCCTTTGGGTTCTATTTTCACTCAAATGTTATTCTTCCCAAAAGGGAGTTAAAAATCAATGCAGCGTCCTTTTCGTTCCCAGTCTCCATAACGAGTTGGTTCAGGGCCTTTGGGACCACCTTTCTCTTTTGTCGTTGGATTGATATCATCGGGAAATTCTAAAAAAAAAAAAGGGGGGGGGGAATATGCAAAATTCCTAATGAAAAGCAGAGGTATTCAAGTATCATCCGTAGTTTGATTGTATGTGTTGTTCCTCGATTCAGTTCGAGAGTTTTCCTTATTTCTAGCAACTCAGTTCATTACTAGCACAATGGCAACAATTATCCAGCATTTCTATCTGCTAGTTCTCAATCAATTTAATGAAAGAGAATCTGCTTTTCAAATGCATTTCAAATAAAAGAATGTTGGTGATGTTTTTATACATGCATGTTTTATTCTTGCTTTTACGAAGTTGTGAGATAGCCAAAGAATAGTTGCGAATATCCTATCTGATACTATACAATACTCTCTTCGGTGTATGGGCAGCCTCCCCGGCTTTCCATATTTTGCTTACAGGTAGTCCTCGACTTATGACTACAATTGAGCTCAAAATTTCTATTGCTAAGCAAAACATTCGTTAAGTGAGTTTTGCCACATTTGATGTTCTTTCTTGCCACAGTTGTTAAATGAGTCACTGCAGTTGATTAGTAACACATTTGTTAAGTGAATCTGACTTCCACACTGACTTTGCTTGATAGAAGGTGGCAAAAGGTGATCACATGATGCTGGGATATTGCAACTGTCATAAATATGAGTCAGTTGCCAAGCGTCTGAATTTTGATCATATGACCATGGAGATGCTAGAATGGTGATAAGTGTGAAAAGCAGTCATAAGTCACCTTTTTCAGTGTCGTTGTAACTTTGGGCACTATACAAACTGTTGTTAAGTAAAGGGCTACCTGTTTATCCATGAGAAATGCTTCTATTGGGCTTCTTCAAAGTGGGACATAGGGCCACCCAGGGTGTATTCAGAATAGAGGAAAAAAGAATGATTGGCTGCCACCAGTAATAAAGTAAGCATAACACCACCACGAGAATTTGAAAGGAATGCCACAATACTCCAGAATAAGATAGAAAATACAAATTTATATCATAGAAAGGTCATTTCTGCAAAATTGGAAGCCAGATTTTACAGAGCCTTGTTTATTATATAAGCCAAATTAATTGACTGACTACTTGTTCTAGCTTTATCAATGGGACTCAAACTATCATGATACACCCAAATAAAATGACATAATAGTTTGATATTATAGGGGGTTTGAGGCTTCCCTTAGGCATAAAAGCCAGCTGGGTGACTTTGGGCCTGTCGCTCTCTTCAGGCCAACCCACCTCACAGGATTATTGTTGAGGGGAAAATCGGACGCAGGAGTATTATGTATGCTTACTGCCTTGAGCTCAATGAATATGAATACATAAACCCACACTGACACACCTGTTGGCTTTTAGTTTCAGCATGAGTGGATATTATAACTTTGTAGGAAGTTCTACAAGTAATAGCATTTGGGAATAAACTAGTTTGGGAATGGTTCCCGTGTTATGCAATTACTTAATTACAGGCATTTTAGGATGTGTAATGGAAAAAAGTAGCCATCAGTAGCAGATGACAAGCACACTTAAAAATAATGTGTATACTTTAACAATGTATTATATTCATTCCTATCGTGACATCATACCTGCATGGCACATTTGCCCATGACTCAAAGGACAGAGATAAATGAGCCAACATATTTTGTTGTACTTCAATAGAGCATTTCTTAAAGTAAATTATATTAGAAAATTCAAGGTTATGCTATATAAGTGATTTAAGTACATATGAAGCTATCTAGCTTCATAGCATTCATGTGTAGTTTCTTTGGTCTGAAAGTTAATGATATATTGTCTAAAACATTATATACCACAGAATAAAATTACTTTGCTGTATATTCATATTTAAACAATAAAAGGTATTTGAAAAGCCAAAGAAAAAGTGTAAAGTAGCTAAAGATTTAATGAGACATCATGTAGGAATTCTATTTTCTGAAGAGATGGAGATAAAAAAAACTTGGCTTAGAGTTAAAAAACATGAAAAACGTAAATGGAGAATCAATGGGGTAGAAATATTTTCAAATTCTCCCTTAATATCTTTTTCTAGAACATTGAACAATCTTCCAGACATAATTCCATGGATTAATTTCCTTTACTATTTCTCTGAAGGTATTTATAGCATCTCAAGACTATACCTGTTTTAACATTTATTATATTTATATTTTACACATCCGCACTTACTTTCTAGTGGCTCCTTTTCTACACTTGATTCTTCTGGTGTATCAAAACGACCTACTGGAGTTACTGGCTTCTTAAGTGGTTGTTTGGTGGGTTCAGTACTTCGTTTTGCACTAAAGGTATTACTTCCCAAAGAACTGTGCAGAAAAGCTGAGCCTATTACATATAAACATAAGATATATGTTATAGAAGATTTAGATTTTAAATGGCCCATGGAAATGGACAAAACCATATATAAATAAATAATATACGACCACCAGGAGGATCCAAGTAAGGAAATACTTTACTAAAACCAAGCTTTCGTTGGGAACTCCCAACATCATCAGGGCTAAAAGCCAGTTAACAAAGATGACTTAAATAGGTTTAGCTGACATTTGCACTCGGCTCTTAGACCGCGTCACCAGCCCTAGCCGGTCAATTTGTATTCCAGATGTTTCCTTGATATATGTATTGCGTTCTCTTCTATTGTTCTTTCGGACCTTCTTACCTGCTCTTTCATTGTCAATACTTGGGTTTGTCAACACCCTTATATCATCCTCCCTTCTGATGATATTTACTCCCATTTCATCTTTCCTTCTACTGCGGGTCTCGGGGGCATTTGATTTTCTCTTAGTGTTATTATCCGTCCCACTAGGGCTCCAGGTACTTTTTCCCACCCCCTTTAATTGTGGATCAATGTTTTCTCCCTGTTCTGTATTCCCCTTTCTCTCTTCCTTGCCCATACGGGTAGTGCTTGTCCGAGCACTATGTACTTTGGCACTATGGCACTATGTACTTTGTGCTCCCATCTCCCACCCTAACGTTCTCTGTGTTAACCGTCTTCCATTGTTCTATCTGTCGATGATCATTACTCCTGTCCAGGGCAGGCTTCTCACGCTCGCCCTGGGAGGGGTCTAGCTGCGAATGGGGACACCCTTCGTCCGTGATTTTTCACCCGTCCACAAGGCAAGAGGGAGAAATGCTTCCCCCCCTTTATTATGCGAGCGAGTCGTCATTCCACACTCCCCCCCCTCTGTGTCAGGCACCCCTCTTTATTGCCGTAAACAGCATCAAATTCTAGAATCTCATCTCATCTCATCTATATATATATGCAAGCACATGATCACGTTAATGATCATTTGCAACCAACCTCTCTCTACAGTAAACACAGTAAGGTTTTCATTGTGAACACAATCTCCAAGTGCATACTCTGAAGTGCCTCTCTTTGATGTGCAGTTTTACAAGGCCACATTTGGAGCAGGGCAACTGCTGTAATTGCTGTTTTCAAATCCTGTTAGCACTAATTAAAAATAGAAACTACTCCAGCTTTGGCATCTTTAATATGACAGTATCCCCATATTGTACCATGGTTTACAGCAGGCATGTCAAACTCGCAACATCACATGACATCACGCAACGTATCGGAGCTTTTTCGTGGGCATGGCTCCGGTATGATGAAACCGGCCCCCGGGCCGGCAGTTTGACACCCCTGGTTTACAGGGTCATGCAAGTGAGAATCCCATATAATGAAGCATGTGGTTTGCCTAAATCGAACAGCATGTTAAGAATTCTGTTCCACTACACATAGTACTGTACTACATTTTTCTTCCAAAAGGAAGCATTTATATGTACTATTTTTTTTTTGTTACTTATCAATTCCCAGTCAACAAGAAGTCTCACAGTCTCCAAACTCCACACACACACACACAAACTCTTTCTTTATTAGATACACCTTTCTTGCCAAAGGAGAGATAAGCTAGGATTTTTTTTTTAGTGAAAATCCATCCACATTTGTACTAAAAGTTCAAAAACTCCACAAAAGTTCCATTTTTTAAAAAAAAAATCCAACCTCTTTCACAACACAATTTACAGAACAACCCTTTGACCACACTGGTGGTACAAAGGTGGGTAGCAAATATTTGTTTATTTATTAAATTGAAGTGCCACACATTTCACTATGCAAGTGACTCTGGGCAGCTTACAACAGAACAAATATTGGCATTTTATTGGGAGAGGGAGAAATTCTTGTGCAGCTACTTATAAGGAATAAATCTGAAAATCTTGAAAAGCTTACCTGGGCCAAGATAGAGAAGCAAAAATAGCGGGAGAGGTACCCATGTACGTTAGAATAAGTCCTATGAAGTACCTGGGACTTAACACTACTCAGAATTACAGGTAGTCCTCGACTTACAACAGTTCATTTAGTGACCGTTTAAATGACAATGGCACTGAAAAAAGTGACTTATGACGGTTTTTCTCTCTTACAACCTTTGTAGTATGCCTGTGGTCACGTGATCAAAATTCAGATGCTTGGCAACTGACTCATATTTATGACAGTTGCAGTGTCCGGGGTCATATGATCCCCTTTTGTGACCGAGCAAGCAAAGTCAAATGGGGAGCCAGATTCACTTAACAACCCTATTACTAACTTAACAACTGCTGTGATTCGCTTAAGCCAGGGGTACGCAACCTTGGCTCTTTTATGACTCGTGGACTTCAGCAATGCTGGCTCAGGAATTCTGGGAGTTGAAGTCGACGAGTCATGAAAGAACCAAGGTTGCCTACCCCTGGCCTAACCATTGTGGCAAGGAAGGTCGTCAAATGGGGGCAAAGCTTGCTTAACAAATGTTTTGCTTAGCAACAGAAATTTTGGCTCGATTGTGATCATAAGTCTGCACGAAGAAACGTCGAGTCCTGGGCAAACGAAGGGCAGAAACTGAGACGTCAGCCAAAGAAAGAAGAAAGACCAGGGGAAAGAAACCACGCTGTCCCCTTTATGAGTGACACGAGCCGACCAGGTGCCCGAGGGCTAGGCAGAGGCTGTAATCCGGGGCTGGCCCGTGACATTTGCCCCCTTAAACTCGGGGTTGGTCTACCGCCTCCCCGTACTCGGATCCCCCGTCCCCAAACTCCCGTCCCCGCTTACTGGCTCGTCCGCCGGCGGAGACGAAAAAGCGGCCCTGCTGGAAAGACAGCCGCAGACCCATTTCCTGCCAAGACCCGGGGCCGCCCCTCGCCTTGCCGCGCTTCCGATGCTCCAGGGAAGTGGGCGGCGTTTGTCACAGAAACCCCGCCCCCGGCCTGACACTTTCCCTCTGGCCTCGCGTCGGAGAAGAGTTGCCAAAAGGTCTCTTCTGGAAGCTGCGTTTCGGGGGCTCTTTGCAGCTTTTGACAGGGAACGTTGTGTTTTATTTAGAGGAGAGGACAGAGGAGACGGGAGCCTGTTCTGTTGTAGACGAGGCCATAGACTAGGACAGCGGGGATCGCCGGGTTAAAGCGGCAGTGGATCGCGATTGATCACTGCAACACTCCAAACGGTCTAAGCCAGGGGTAGGCAACCTTGGCTCTTTTATGACTCGTGGACTTCAATTCCCAGAATTCCTGAGCCAGCTATGCTGGCTCAGGAATTCTGGGAGTTGAAGTCCACGAGTCATAAAAGAGCCAAGGTTGCCTACCCCTGGTCTAAGCAATCAGCGGTACAGTATTTTTTTTAGCGACGCCCTTTCCTATGTTTGACAACTTCTGCAATCTATACTGGAACATGGGAAACGTTTTGGGACATCACTTTGACCTATAGTGGTAGGTTCTATATGAGCGAATTAGGCGGTTAAGGCTCTTGAGATCGATTTTGGCTACATAGATACCTTGATGCACTTTTTTTTTTGCAACACTACAGATCTGTTCTGCAATTCTTTTCAAGGATGTTCTTTTAAACGTCCTAATCATTTTCAGAGACCTCGGATTCTCTGGAAGTTTCCTTCTAAACACTTAAGTGTGATGTCACCCTTAACACACTATTTTGGCTTAGAAATGCTAAAATGTAGTTTGCTGAATTTAGTCATGCAGAACCTAAGCAACCATATTGTCTTACGTTGATGGTCAAATTCAGGGTGCGACTGAACTGTGATAGGGTAACCCAATCTGAGGCCCAGTGTATTGTGCAAATGCAGATAAATTGGCATGAGCATATCAGTTTTTAAGGTTACCTTTGTTGTCAGTCCTGCCAGGAGACACAAGAGATTAAATTTGGGGACCTGACTGCATAACAACTGGCCTTCAGCACATTGCAGCTTTTGTTTTGGAAAGAAGCCAGTCTTTAGGGATCATTTCTTGAAACCGGGGTGGAATGGAAAAAAGCATATACTGGCAAAGATTTGGGGCTCCTTTTACTTAAAACAGCCTGTATTTAAAACTGCACAAATGTTAGCATGTTTGTTCCTGAAATTGCAGATTTTGTCTGTACAGTTAAGTAAAAGCATGAACGAATTAATGAATGATAGTTATATGAAACAAGTCTACAGTTCTGGAAATATTGACTCAGTGGCCTGGCCATCAGATTTACCAAGACAGAAGGATTTGGCTTTGAAAAGAATCATCTTTCTTTACCAATTTGGAATTACTTTCTGAATGCCAATCAACCAAGAGTTGAAGTCAAGGAATTTTTTAAAAAGAAACTCTAGAACAGCAGAGTCTAGTGCAGTGGTTCTCAACCTTTCTAATGCCGTGACCCCATAATACAGTTCCCCATGTTGTGGTGACCCCCAAGTGGGTGTGGCCACCAATAAGAGGGAGTAGGACAGCTAGGGAAAAGGGAACAAAATGGTGGACAGCATGGTTTGGCGACCCCCATGAAATGATTGTTTGACCCCAAATGGGGTCCCGACCCACAGGTTGAGAACCACTGGTCTAGTGCTATTATGTTTACTTCAACCACATTCCCTAAAAACAAACAAACCATATGGCAGGAGACTGGGAAACAGTAAATTACTTTGCAAATTGTCAAATATAACTGACCCCTTCAACAAACACAGACAAAGCAGCATTGGCCTTTTGTGTAGATCTAGTTTAATTATTGCTCAGTCATACCTAAAATGAACTTAGTGATTCCTCTATTATTAATTAAATAGGATAGCAATCACCTTCCCACCAGGGAAAATTAGGCATAAGGCTAAACTTCCTGTGAAAATTAAATCAGAAACTTTTCTCCATTCAGTAGCTGTGTTCACATAAATTCATGGTTAATTAAACCATGATTAATTTACTAAATCCGATAGCCTGGATTTACAAGACATACTAAACCATAAATTACAGACTGGGTTTGTACAACAAAGACAATCATACTTTAAGTATATGATGCAACAATGTTTGTCAGTCACTACCAAGTCTGATTGTTAAGTAAAAAGATATTAGCAGGAAGACTGTGTGAAGTGAATGAGTAGAAAGAGAACTAGTTTTTATCTTATATTCACTTCTAGAATACTATGGTGAAATGTGGGAATCTTAAAATTATGACCCATCCAGGATGGACCAGTTAACCATTCTCTACGAGGAAAGCTATTTCTTGAGGTCCTTACATGGATTGATAGTGTACCTAAACTCCTCATGATACTCATCCTAAGGCTGAATGATTGGGAAGAGCTCTGTAGCGTATGGTAGATCAAGGCTAGTACAGAGCACAATGAGTCTTTCTTGACATACGTTTTCAAACACACTGCCAATTCTCAGGGATGATAAAACTGGGAATGCCTCCTCCCCTCAAGTTTATGCTTACTTATATCCTCAACTTAGAAGAATTGTGGAATGACAACAATTTTGAACTTAATATTTAAAGGGAAGTGATTCTGGATTAAATGACATTACTTTCTTCTCTAAACTAGGGATTAAATGACATTACTTTTTTCTCTAAACTATCATTTCAATTCTGTGATAGTATAGAAACAGCACTCTTAATGATGGAGTATGAGTGTGCACTTAGTGCATTCAAACAATGTATCAAAGACCTAGAAGCCTAACAAGATAAATCTGCTCTAAGAACGCTTCCTTGAGCAGTCATACCTTTTCAAAGCAGCGAGATAACTACATTGTATAACTGTCCCCAAACTCTGAAGGGCATTAACTTTAGCACACTGCAATGTACTTTCCAAAGCGGTCTTGGAAGGCTGATATAAATTTTTTCCCGTATGAGCTGAGACTGTGCCCCTGGCTATCAAAACTATAGCTCACATCCTACTGTACCATACCTTCTATAAGGACCTATCTTGTAACACCTCACCTGACAAAAAACTGGGGAAACAATCTTTTATGTACAATTGTTGTTATTGGATCAATCAGAAGTAGTCTCTTTCAATGTAGCCAAATTTTGTTATAGTGTCTGCAAAATTAGGCAGATTTTGCGCAATCCACCACCAATTATTAAATATTATCTTGTCTTTTCATTTCATTTTATGTGTAATGTTTCTTATTTGTAATGCTGGTCTGTGACTAACAAAATTACTGGTATAGAAATCTGATCTACAGCATGACTAAGACTTATTATCCTATCAAAATGAACTTATATTTAATCTTTTTAGATGCTGAAAAAGCTTTTGATCAGTTAAATTGGCAAATTTTGTTAAGAGTGATAGAGGAGATGAATTTGGGGGATAAATTTCTGCAAGCCCTAAAGGGCATTTATCAACAACAATCGGCTCAGATTATAATTAATGGAGGACTAACAGAGGCCTTTCAAATTGGAAAAGGTACAAGACAGGGATGTCTGTTATCTCCTTTGTTGTTTGTTTTAACTTTAGAAATTTTGTTAATAAAAATTCGTGAGTCAACTACAATAAAGGGAATAATGATAAATAAGAAGGATTATAGGTTGAGAGCTTTTGCTGATGACTTGGTTGTTACTTTATCACAACTGATTCATTCAGTTTTAGATTTGTTACAGATTATAACCCAGTATGGGCAAGTCTCTGGTTTTAAGGTTAATAAGACTAAAATATTATCCAAAAATATGTCTATTAAGGATAAGGAAATGTTAGTTAACTTGACAGGTTTTGATATAGTTAAAAAGGTTAAATATTTGGGAGTGTATATAACAGCTTCTAATGTAAAATTGTATAAAAATAATTATGAAACATAATGGACTAAAGTGCAGAAGGATCTGAATGATTGGAAAAAATTACAATTATCTTTGTTAGGGAGAATTTCTGCTGTTAAGATGAATGTTCTACCAAAATTTCTTTTTCTGTTTCAGATGATACCTATTTTGAAGAAATATGTCAATTTAGATGAATGGCAGAAGGGTATTAATAAATTTATTTGGGTAGGGAAAAAACCAAGAGTTAAATTTAAGATTATACAAGATGTACGAGAAAGAGGAGGACTTAAGATGCCTAATTTGAAATTGTATTATGATGCTGCGGCCTTAACATTGATTAGCGATTGGATTAACGTAACAAATCAAAATACACTTTTTTTGGAGGGACGGGATTTATTATATGGATGGCATGCATATTTAATTTATAATAAGAAATTAGATAGGGCTTTTAAATCGCATATTTTAAGAACTGCTTTATTGCGTGTCTGGAAGAAATATTATTATAGATTAAATTATAAAACACCAATTTGGGGGATTCCTGGACATGCAGTAGAGGGGATATCGAGAGGTGTGAAGTTGGATAGGACTTCTAACCAATTGCTTAAATTGGAAGGGAAGGATTGGCAGTTAAAATCGTTAGATGAATTAAGGCAAGATAATATTGTTTACTCTTGGTTTCAGTATAGACAATTGTTAGATAGATGGAGTTTAGACCAAAAAGTTGGTATTACTTTAGAAGATGAGAATTTGATAAAACAAGTTAGAGATCAAAGTCGAGCTCATATAAAAAGAGTTTATAATGTATTATAAGATTGTATGATAAAATGGGCCCAAAATTTTCAAGAGCCGGTTTTACTAGATACATGGGAGGCAATTTGGGTTGGGAATGTGAATTTTACTCAGGTTCAAAATTTACGAGAAATTTTTTATAAAATGTTTTATAGGTGGCATTTGGATCCACAAAAATTGTCTCATATGTATCCTAATTTACAACCTAAGTGTTGGAGATGTGGTTGCTTAGATGCAACCTATTATCATATTTGGTGGACGTGTAGAAATATAAAAGCTTTTTGGATTAAGATTTGGTGGAACATTCAGAAGATTTTTAATAGAAAGATAAAGTTTACACCACAATTATTTTTGTTAGGTATTGTTGAAGATTGTGATGTTAAAGAAACTATTTTAATGTTGAATCTTATTACGGCGG